TCTATTCCTAAAAATGTAAGAGTATTTGGCAACTTTAGTGTAACAATATCCCACCACGCTAGTTCTAGACAAGCCAATTAAAAGTAATTTTCTTGCAGACTTTTATTTTTCTGTTATTTCAAAATTATTAGTGGATTAGACTCCAAATAATCATAATATTCCCAAGCCATAAGAAGATTCTCTGTTATCTTTGGCCTCTGATCTTTCATCTTCTAATATGACAAGGCGCACAAGTATTCTTCAGAAATACTCTTCAGAAATATTCTTCTGCCTGTTAGCAGAAATATTCATGGGACTATGGTATTTATTGTACTTTGCATTTGATGCATTAATTCCCTAGAGTTTTATCACACAAAATTAATACAGAAGTAGAACAAATATTTTAAAAGACTTTCAACAGGTACATTAAATCTCAATTTTTCAACTACTCCTTATTTCTCCATGCACAAGGGAATAATAATAGGGGTCTTATCAGAGTATGAGGGTAAACTATCCTTTTCCTGTTTGTGTCATCTACTTAGACCATAAATGGCCTGAGGACAAGATTTAAGTGTTTATATAGCATTTATAATAATGATACTTCTAGATATATGCAATATGAATGTATCTGGACACAAAAGTGATTTTGGAAATAAAATCCTATTAATTATTTGTCATATTCTGGTCTGCATTACTAATAAATGTCAGCTTTGGAAAAAATAAGTGTTATTTAAACAAAATTATGTAACTCCTGTAAAAACACAAGGTAGGCACCTTACATTTTTAACTTGTTATCAGCATAATGATGGCTCTAGCAGAACAACTTAAACACTGTTGTTTCATTTGTTTAGAAATAATAATAATGATTGTATGGATCAATGTGGACTATTTAATAGCTGTAACAACTCTGAAAAGCACCAGCAAAGCACTATAAACTTGCATGGCAACTAGCTTCGTCAGATGAACTGTGCTCAAGTCTTTTAATAAATCCTGTCCCAAGTGCCACCAGAGAGACTGAAATATGAAAAATTCTAAATGCAAACGGACAACCAGAAAGGATGTCACAAATTGCTTTTTTAAATGCAGAATGGTTTTTCAGTGAGGAAGGAACTCTATGACAAGAATAAGGAACAGCCTGGGGGAAAGGGTGCCAAACCAGATTTTTTAACTCCTCAAGGGTAACGAACAGCTCCCGAGATCTGCTAGAATAATAAGGACTATAAAAGGGGAAGTTGCATTCAGGTGGCTTTTTGTCATAGCTGTTGTTCTGTACAGATCACTAAGTTTCATGTGCTAAGTATAAGGTCATTATACATGATTAAGGAGTTCTTTGCAAGATTTGTTTCTAGATGTAGCTCTCAAGACAGCCTCAAAATAGGGGCTGGACTCCCTGGTATACTTAAAAATTAATGCGCTTGATGTATTGGTCCTACTATGACTTTGGAGACTGACGGATTTCATTAGGGAAACTACTCAAGAGCTTAGGTCTTGAAGAACAGTTTTAAGAATTTCTTAGTGGTATTAGAAAGGACATTACCAAGTTCAATAGTTACCATTATTTTTGTTTCTTTGTGTGTTTACAGGGAGATAGTGACCTAATATTTTCTTCTGAACCACAGACACTTTAATAGTATCTTTTATTGCCTCAAATGAGAACTTCGGAAGTTCAGAAACGCACATACCAGAAAAACCATACAGTCACATTAATGAAACCAGTTTTTTAAACAATTTTTGGATCCCCAAATCCACAAATGAAAGAAAACTACTACTGATTGTATATTAATTTGATCACTTTCTGTCTATAGACGGACTTCCTTTTTGCAGTAGCCCATCAAATTAATTCAATCAAGTAAATATTAGCTATTTATAAAATTAAGTAAATACAGCACAAATAGGATCTTTTATATTTGAAAGTAATTTTTTTTCACAATTAGATATAAGCAATTTGAGTAACTGACCATAGTAGTAAAACACTAGACTTCAAACAATTACTGCTCAAATACTCTTGTGAAACACTGTGGGTATTGTCAAAAAGCTTTTTTAAATATAAAAAGAAAAGAAGAAAAGATAGGACAAACTGAATGTCTCACGTGTAACCATTTTCCACAACTTGATTTGCTTTGTTTTAGTAAAGAGAATATAAACATGCCAAAGCCTATCATCAAACTTCCATGTTTACATCCTAGCATTCCTATAACAAATAGTAAACTTTCTAACATCCTGGAAACAACACTACCTCTATTTAAGGTTGATGAGGTATAACTCTTTGAAACAGAAAATCTGATTTAAAACCAGCATGGTAATAAAATAATATTTTGTACAACATTCTAGCTCTTTAGGATCAATTTCTGATACTATGTTAAAGTGTAAGTCAAACAGTTCTGACAGCACCATGTTCACAGGGAATTTCAAGTTAGAACTACAATGAAAACAGATTTTTCCACATTATATTTCCTTACCAGTAGATGTAAAAAAGTCCCCAAAAGACTGTTCTTAGCCATCCAAATCAACTCTTGATTCTTTCTCTCTAAAAAATGGTAGGGTAGGACCCAGTTTAACTTGTGTCTAAAATTTCGGATACCTCCTAAAGTACACGTGAATTCTTTATACCATCAAAGGATAGAAATTCATGACTTAGAAGGCTTTCAAAAGGAAATTCTGAAAACTTGGCCGGCCAGAGAGCTGTTTGTTTTCCCCTCAATTGAAACAATTGTATCAGTAGAAAAAGACCCTCATCTGAAGACTTGTAAAGGCAAATACATCTCTCTACCTTCCTTAGAAAGATTCCTTTACCAGCTCAGGTTAGGTGGGAAAGATCTCACAGACCCTAAAACTTTCAATGAAGCTAATGAGAATGGGACCATAACATTTTCTGCATAAGAGCTCACGATCACAGACCTCAGAGACTGAAGCGCCTCATGCAATTGTTCTAAAAATACCACAGGATGGTACATTTAGGATGTACTAGAGGTAAAATCAACATTAGGTAGACATCACACAATCTTACAAATGTTGCTAATGTTATAGTAACTGACCATTGAAGTTTGAAAAGAAACCAACCAGTTTGAATCATATAACATAATTCTAGGTCCAAAAATCGACAAGGTCCTAAAGTCCGCAAGTCTCTTACATTTTTAGTCACACATATTAAAATCTTGGATCTTAAGTCCATATACAGTCTTTGATTGCTATTATATAGTAAAAATTTGCAAACAAACAAGTGATAAAATACACAAGTATAATATATCCAAGTATACATCATGATACAAATATCTGTTATAGATACTAGGTCTTATCAATGTCACCTGTATGTTAAGGAAAAAAGGCCCAGGGAAATGTCTAAGGGAAAAATCTCACACTTTGTGCTTGCACTACATTGCAATGTGTTCAAAGTTTTAATTATGAACTTTACATTCCTGTAATACATAGAACCCAATTACTTCAAACTCTGACTTTTTATTTATGTATGCTGTAGTACTTAATAGCTGTACAGTTGCTTCTTTTATCATTGCTCAATTTTTTTTTTTTTGAACTTTTACCATATTATCAGGCTTCTGAACAGCTGTGCTGCATTTTTGACCTTACCTATTCAGTGTGTTACTCAACAAAGTGAGTATTCAGCAAGAAACAAGACCCTACACAATGTTTCAGCTGACCTTTAACTGAGAGATGTGCTAACACTAGCTATATTATTAGATACATTTTATTTATTACTATACAATAAATGCTTACTTAAGACCTGTAAACTTTGTATTTCCATTGCTTTCGTTACAGGATGAGAAGCCGATCACGTGCCAGTTATGGGCACCTTCCAGAATGTAAACTGGAAATATATGTTTTTAAATGTGTTTTTTTCAATATCAATAAAAAGTGACATTACTGTATTACCACCTTACTTCAGAAACATTTTTTCTCAATGTTAAGAGAAGTATTCTCAGATAACACAGAATCATCTTTAATTCATTGTGTTTTACAGAATTATTCATATTTCCTTAGCATGAAAAATCACATAAAAGAAATGACATTTCCAATTAAAAGAAATAAATGGATTTCTTGAAGAAAGAAAGAAAGAGTAATGCTACAAATAGCAATCAAACAAATGCGTACCAAAAAAAAAAAAACCACTAAAAAAAAAACCCCAAATACTTTAAAAGTTAATAATGAAGGAACTAAGGTAAGAAGCCAGTGGTGGTCAAGTTCTGTGAAACACTCTGGAGGAACTCATAGTTTGCTCTTCATATTAATGAAAGGCAGAGTTTTATGGCTTATGAAATCTAATTTGACTCTCCTTCACAGTAGGACATCACTCCTGAAACTATTATTGCACACTTAAATTGCTATTTCAAATAAGTCCTTTGAGATTACATTTTAAAACTTCATTACTTTCCACAAAAAAACCCAAAACTATTTAAACATTTGAGGGGGTTAAAAACAAATTAGGCCCCCTACTGTTTCCACTTCATTAGTACTTCTGAGTCTTTTCCAATCTAAGTATATCCTTGAAAATTCCTTTTTACTTACAAGCTTATTTTCCATGTATTTTTCTGTACCAGTATCTACAGTGGCATCAACTAGCAACAATGGGTCACACGTAACTACAGCTCCTCTACGTTATTTCTTAGGGCTAGTCATTCAGCAACTCATTTTTCTCTACAGAAAAGTTGCTAAAAATCCCTGCTTGTTTCTTCTGGTTTGTCTCCTTATACAGCAGCTAATCATCAAGTTCTATCAAATAGACAATTTGATAGCATTCATAAATGAAAGCATTGTGAATGGTTGCCGTCATACATTCTTACAAGCAAGAGTCCTGCCAAATAAGGTTGAAAGTTTAACACGAACATCTTATATCAGTACTAGGCCAAAAATAAGAAATTAACTTTAGAAAAGCACAAAGTTATGGTTTCATACACATGCCTACTTAAAGCACATGAGAATAAGGCAAGCCTTAGCAATAGAAATACAAAAGTACAAAAAAAAAGTATCAAAGAGAACATCAAACAAGACAAGCAGAAATCTCTTACTGGTTCTTTCAGGCCTTTGAACAATCCCAGTCTTCTTATTCTGACTTCCACTTTCATGAAGTGCCTTAAACCAGTCTCTCAATCTGTTTGCAACCTCTCTGAACTCCAGGTCACTGCACGCTGAAAAACAAAATGCAGAGCTGTTTAATGTTTTCCTCCTGAGTGCTAAATAGAACTTTTCAATCTATGCTAAAAAAAAAAAAAAAGAAAAAGGTAAACCACATAATATAACATAAACATGTATGTTCCACAGCTTGCTATAATTCATAAAGCTCAGTTTCATTACTTAGGTATGCCTTCGAAAACCAATTCAGGTCCTCAGAAATAAATGCCTGATGTATAAAACAATTATGAAATCATATATATCTAGAAATTAAAAACATCCATTGCAAACTACTGCAAACCACTATAAACAGTTCTAGTATAGATATTTTCACATCTTACTGCAGATGAAGCTGTATGGCAGAGCCACCCATGACAGTCTTTTGGAGTTTCATTTCTATGTTTGTTAAGACAATAGTAATGAAAGCTCTACCAGAAGAGGTTGGAGTTGTGATTTAGGCAGATAATGCAGGAACACCCAACTGGCTTTCCGATGCCGAAGTGTGAGAACAAGAAATAAGGTTGACAGAGAAAGTGCTCCAAGAGTGTCCTGAAAGCTTATTTGATTGAATGTAGTTCCACAAGCCAACATTTGTGAGCACCTAACTGCCAACGGGCAACTGCACAGCCACTTAGTGACGGAAAGGATAGCTTCTCTCACCACAAAGAGCAAAGACAGAAAAAGTACGTGAGACCAAAAAGATGCATCTGTAGTACCAAGAGCAGCAGATTAGTAGCAGTACTGGTAGTTAGTACTGAGGCAGATAATAGATGTGCAGACAGGAGGCCTATTCACCTTCACTATTGAGGTGCGGGAGAAGATGAAGAATAGATGTGCTTGAAGCAAGCAGATATCCCTTCCAGACCTCTGTTTTCCCATTTCATATGTTTGAGGGAAGCGGGGAGAAGAGGACAGAAATAATAGAATCTGGGACATGACAAAAGCAGAAGGCAGGCAACCAAGAAAGGCACTGGATGTATGTATGCTTCCCTAGATAACAAAATACCTTCCGCTGCCCTTGTCAACAGTTATCACTTCCAAATCAGGATTGTCTTCCAGGTCTACCAGCAACTAACCGAGTTAAAATCTGAAGAGCTCATATTTAAGTTAGCAGAGCTTCCCAATTTTCCTCCTGAAAATAAATCTCCAGCTCAGCTTACTTTTCCTTTATTTTGTAGCAATTCATAATATTTGGCGACATAGCCTTCAGCCCACTTTATTAAATCCAACATCACTGTGAAACATCTATTTGCATTTTAGAGTAAGACTGAAACATGTCATTATGTCAACCACCATCAATGCCTGTACAACAGCAGGCATCTAAGCATTTGTTTATTCATTCCTTGATGAAGTTTCTCTTGAGACTTTGCTTCTCTCCATGAAAGATTTAGGTGCAATCTATATGAACCGACATTTTTATAAAACTTTCATTGTGCTTTTCTCTTTTGTAACGGAACATTTTTTTTTCCTGATAATTCGATACAAAACTGGGGCAAAAAAATATTAATGATAGATATGCGGGCATGTATGCTCAAAAACGTCGTATCACAACTACATGAAAATGGTCTCCTGAGCCAAGACTACACATCATAATTCAAATTTGTGGGATTTATACATTTGCTACGACAACACCTTCTTTTACTGATCCTTGCATCAGCTAACAGGTCAGCATAAAGAATTGGATATAAACTTAGGACATCCTGCCTCTCTTTAATTTCTCCTCCTATTATAGGTCAAATAACATAATATTGTTCCCTTCTCTAACTACCCTCCCTTAGTTTAAGAGAAAGACTTTCAGAATTGAATCAAAGGGTATGGAGCACAGCACAATCATTAGGGGTACATGACCTCCCATCTAACCATTTGATTCACCTACTCTGCACAATACTGTGTAATACTACCATGAGTCCCAGAGATAATATAGCTACATTAATGTGGTGCACTGACCTGGCTATTTTCATCTACTTCTAACCTATCTATATGCAGTGCTACCCTGATTAACCTCTGATGCTGAGGTGACCTACTCAGAGACAGCATATAAGCTTATTTACAGTCACTTATATATATATATACACATTCACTTTATATATATATATAAAGGGAGAGCATGAGGAAGTGCCAGCTACAAGTAGAAGGTTAGACGGAATAACATTAACAGAAAGGTGCACATGGCAGCTGCATGATGGAGAGAATGTATGAATTTCTTCTTTATGTAGAAGCATCTCCTAGCTCATTAATGTCTAAAAAAAAAAGCGCTAAGAAAAGGAGATAGTGCCTCTTTGGCTGTTAGGTATAAGAATAAAACAGAGCTTGCTGTTTCAGCATCTGGTACTAACCACTGCCAGGCACAATATAACATAAGCCGACATTTTCTGTGCTCCTGTGCGTTGCATTCCTTTCAAAATGGAAGATACATATGGCACATTTTGGGCATCAAACACATCACATACGAGATCTCAGATTAGGGTCATTCTTCCAACTTCAATTTCTTATAAACTTTTCCCCAAACTTTGCTTGACAATTAAAATTACGGATTTTAACTCAAAACAAAGAATAAGAAAGTTTTAATAATTTTTGGTTCATTTTATCATGGGAATAGATAATCTTAGAAAATCAAGACAATATGAAACAAACTGATTAAAACTGCCATTTGCCTATTTTACATCCCATAGCTACTTAAGCGCTGAAGTCAGCTCTCAAACATGGCAGGTAATTATACCTACTGTGTTATTAACTTAAAAGCACAGTGAATTTTTGGTTCTTGACATTTCTAATATGTCAAGTAAAAGCCTATGCCTTCTGTGGGAAAATAACTAAAATTGGGGAAAATGGAGAAATACAGCTTTGCAAAGTGCAGCTCAAAGGCTGCAATATTAGAGCAGCTTTGAGGTGAGACACAGTTGCTGCTCCCAGGACGGACATGGCCTGCTGGTCAGATGGAATGAGCAATGTCCTTGAAGTGGGGATTAGAGTGGTACGGAGGTACCATGGCTCATCTCTGTTATCAGGGGGCAAAGAACATCTGGTGAAGATAACCGTCTAATTGCCATCAAGGAAGATGGATCGCAAGTGCTGCCTCAGCAATAATGGTAAAATCTTGTCCTCTAGATGAACTTTGCTCATTATTATGTCATTATAATACCAAAACACACCTCCACCTCGAAAGCTACCCACCTCTGGGCTGCGACCACCCCTCACTGAGCAGGTGCCCTGAATTTCTTCTAGCCTATACCTTTAAATTGAAGTGAGAAAAATTTACCAATCCTAATAAAGGTATGTATGACTAGAGTCACTCAAGCTCCATCTGAAAGTAAAGAAATAGTATAACATGGCGAAAGAGAAGGGGATGTCAGGGAGAAGTCCCCCATCGAAACGTTTGGTATCAGTCAACAGGCTGAACCTCTCCTCTCCCCCGCATAGGGACGCCTGTTGGGTAGGAGCTCTGTGTTACGTGCATTTACTTACTAACACCTTGCTAGCTAGTTAGTATTGTTACTGATCAGTAATAGTTTTATATTATTCTAATCAAATCTGTTTTCGTAGTCAGTCACTATCACCAGCTATCTTCGAATCTGTATTCTGTTACAAGTGTATGTAATAAATCTTGTCATATATAAATTTAAGTTTCTGGAAACTTCAATAATTGACATAGAGGATATAAGGGATTTGTGCCGGTGCTGCTGCCCATGAGGGTCCCTGATTGGAAAAGGGGCAGACTGGTCAAACTGATAAAGGCTCAAGGTAGCCCTCGTTCTGTCCTCTGTCGACACGATATTGTGTCTTAACGTGACACCTTCTATATGTGAAATATATACAAGAGATGCAGCAGAACTACACTAATCCACGCACTTAATTTACATGGACAAACTGTATTCTCAGCAAGGATATAAAACATGGGTTTATAACAATGTCTCGTATTTCAATATTTGAGTATCATGGTTTTTTATCAAAGAACATTTAGTTAATTTACTAGCATCTCAGAAAAAGATTTAAATGGTAGAACCAGCTGGCAAATTAGAATTCTTGCCATGAAACTTTCTATCAATCATTTCATTTCCACAGGATGCTTAAAATTTGTTAAAACTTTGAGTTGGTTAAATAACAACTAATGATGTAATTTAATTTTGACTGCTGGAAAGTAAAACACACTGAATTATTTTTTTCTGGTTCCCAACCCCATCCTATTTATTTTTTTTTCTTCTCTATTTTGGAATTTTCCACTGAGAAATTTATTTCAGATTTCAGTATACTTACTATTTTCCAGAACGCTTTTCAAGATCTACCTATGCTACCATTAAAATAGCAGAATTAGAAGGAAAAAAAAATATCCTTTTAGGGTTCCTGTTAAGTGATTTTTGTTGAGGCTCCTTAAGGTTAATTCCCTATCATCTGACGCCAGTATTTATTCACTTTCACAGTTACTCTTGCGTATAGTCATCTCTACATATTCTGTTACGTTGTATTGTTTGAAGTATTTCAGAAACATAAAACAATCTGATGAAAATAATTTTATGTTGTGATTATTGAGATAAAAAGCTAGTACTATCCTGACATGAGGATTAAAATACATATACATAAAAAAAAGACTTTATTAGAACATCTTATATTATTCTGGAAAACAATAAAGCAGAAAACAGATCTATGTAAGTATGTAAGAACATAGGCTATTAGTAGTGGCAAATAGATCCTTCAAGTACTACAGCTATTTCTATAGTTAGAGATCAGCATTTGAGAACCTTTGGGCCAAGACCTCCCATTTCCTAAGTTATTAGGTACAAGGTGCTTGGACTACTTCAGCCATGACAGTGGCAGGAAAGCTGCACTCATCACCCCATCAGGTAACACAGAGAAGCAGAGGACAAGTGGTTTGACAAAGAAATTTTCTCAAAGGGAAAGACTGCATCTTTTGACAGTTCCCGAAAGCATATCAGGTAGTAAAATCCCAGTTTGGTCCTATCTCAACAGAGACGTGTGCCGAAACTTGACATAAAAGAACAACCACATACACTTCTTTCTT